TTTGTGCAGGTAGTTTGTTGCTCCTACTTTGAGCATGCTTACTGCAACAGTAGCAGGACAGTAGCTTGACAGTAGCACGGCAGTAGAATGGAGCAAAAAAAGATTTTAAACGGGCTTCTAGAAGGAGTGAGTGGCATTATAGAAGAACGTGGAGAGCACAGACAGCCAAAAGAAGCATCCAAAAGTTCTACTACAGTACATGTGACTGAGGGGATTGCAGGATAATGCAGCAAAGGGTAACGAAGAGTAGCAAAGTACCTACGAACTACCTTCAAGGTTCTCTTCTCTACTGTACCCAACTTAGCCTTTTTTTGATGTAGACTGTATATTTATTTGTATGTCCACACTTACAATTCTTCTGTACATGTTGTATTGGAGAAATAACAAAATTTATAAGCCTTAGCAACCACTTGCCCATGCTCCTTTACATAGTGGGTGTGGTCACGGCAAACAAAATGGCTTACACATAGGACAAAGTTATAAACTTTCTAACAGCAGGAGAACATAGAGATACAGTCTCAAGACTTTTCTTTAAGCATTACAAGGTAGAGAGAACCTTTATAAGTTTTTTAAGAACCCAGCTGTACTAACAAGGTGGTGGAATCAATTATATGAATATTTTTTACACAGTTATGCTTGTTCCTTAGGTTTTGTATTAAGGAGGGAGAAAAGACTTTTCAAATTTGTCACAACAAAGGCTGGGCAGGATATTGTCACTGTAAGGACTAGGTCATCAAATATATGGATACAAACCAATGTTTGTAAACAAATAATAGTTTTAAAATAATATTTTGACTTAAATAATTGCTGCACCTGATTAGTTTTAGCAGTTTTGCGGCTATTAGTATTGCAAAAGCAAAATTTCTAATGAATGTTGTACAGTGATGCACTTCATCTAAAATTTATCCTGATGCATAGCTATAGCACTCCCTCACTAGCTTAAGATCAAAAGTTCTGCATGTCATAGAGATAGTAAAAGCCACTGAATAATCAACTTCTTATTTGTAGCTACCATTATGACTGTTTTTGCAAAATTGGTGTGCAGGGTATACTAACCATAGTTATGGTATGTTTATCATCAGTGGCGGATCTAAGGGGGTCGTGGGGGGCAAGCCCCCCCAGGTTTAGCTGTACACCCACACACTAATTATAGTTGATTGTTCTTACATAAACTAATTATCCTTGGCCAGTCCCACTAACAATAACAGAAGTAATGCCACCTGATCTTGTATTATTTACTATAAAGTCTATAATCTACTTTATCTACTTGTATCATGTCAAAACAACTAACTCTTTTTGATCTACTTAGAGGTATTATTCATGTATAATGATTTATAATTAAGCTTTTGATTTCATATGACACAGAGAGATCTAAGACAAATAGAGATGACTCTGCTCAAGAAGAAATGTCTTGTCCTGTCACTAGCAGGAATGCAGAAGAACCAACTCTATACAGTTGTAGCCACCATAATTTAGAAATGAATACAAGTCATTCTAGTGTTGCTACTGCTTCATCTAGTTCATCACTACCATTGTCGATGGAGTCTGAATTAGATATAGCCAAAGGTGTTCATGATAGTCCTGTACAGCCACGTAACCACCCATTTCCATCATCACAATTTGGTGTGAAGAGCAGATCATTTAATCCAATGTGGTATAGCAAATATTCCTGGTTGGAATATTCTGTCAAGAGAGATGCAGCATTTTGTTATGCTTGTTAAATTTTACCACTTCTACACTTGATGATGTCTTTGTTAGAACTGGCTATACAAATTGGAAGCATGCAGCAGGGAAGACTGGAAAGCTAGAGAAGCATAACACCTCACTGAGGCATGTACACTCAATGGCTTCATGGAGTGACTATAACGAAACCAGAAGCAGTGATACATCCATTGCATCATCTCTGAGTAATCAATGGAGCAGATTAGTAGGAATAGTCACTACATAAAATCTATTTTGGAGGTTCTTTTGTTCTGTGCTACTCAGGAAATTGCATTGAGAGGACATAGAGAAGTGGCCTCAAAGAACAAAGGTAACTTCTTAACAATACCTAGTAGGTAAGCATGATTCTATTGTTGCATCACGTTTGTGTGATGAGCCAAGAAATGCAGCCTATACTTCTCATAGTATCAAACAAAATGAGCTTCTAAATCTTCTCACCAAAAACGTGCAGAAGGTCATTTGCAGTCAAGTGAGGAATGCTGGTTACTATAGCATTATCGTTGATGAATGTAGAGATCTTGCTAAGAGGGAGCAATTGTCTTTCTGTGTTCCATATGTCAATGTAGCTGATGGTATCGTCAATCAAAGGTACTTGGGATTCTCTCATGCCAAAGATCTTGATGCAACCAGCTTAACGGGATACATTAAGGAGTTAGTTAATGGCTTTGACTTTAATTTTTTTAAAATGGTGAGTCAGGGGTATGAACGTATCAATGTAATGAGTGGACATTGCTCAGGTGTTCAAACTAAGGTACGACAGTTTGCTCCATATGCTACATATATTCACTGTCATGCCCATGCTTTAAATCTAGTCTTGGTAATATCTGTCAAATCTGTACCAATAGCAGCTGAGTTTTTTGCTTTATTAGAGGCCTTGTATGTTTTCTTCTCTCCTGCAAAAGCCCATGATGTTTTTATTAAAGGCAATCACAATTACACCCTGAAAAATGACAAATGGAACTGCAGAAACGGAGTGACACTCGCTAGGTATGCCGCTTTACAGCAGTCAGTGTCATATGTTGCATAAATAACTCCGTTTTTCTCTTTTTGTAGGAAATATCAGTGTCACATGATGCTGCTAAGGCCATTGAGGCTAGGGGGTTGTATCGCAAGGTGCAATCATTAACTTTCCTTGTATCACTCGTTACATTTGATCACATTCTCACTTGTACTAAGCAACTATCAGATCAACTTCAGAGTTCATCTTCTAATCTTTCTTCAGCATCTCATATAGTTGTTGCTACTAAGTCTTTTTTATCAGAGTATGGTATTGATGACTATTGAAAGAAAGTTTATGATTGTGCACCAACAATTGCTAACTCATGATATTCCTATTCAATCAGGCAGAGACCAAGGAAGGAGAAGAAAAAGGCCCAGACATTTAGAGGAGAGTGTCATTCTAGAAACTGTTGGCTCTTGGGAGTCTCAGTCTACTAGTGATGAGATCTGCTACCAATTTTACTTCCCTGTAATTGATACGTTTATTTGTGAGATGAATCACAGGTTTGGCACTCGTAATCTTACTATTATGAATGGTATTTTATCCTGTACACCAGCTTCAGCTACTTTTCTCTCTCTTCCTGATCATACTTCAATTGCAGGACAATATGACATTGAAATTCAATCGTTGGCCACAGAGTGCAGCTTGGTAAAAACGGCCATCACTCAGGGTGACCCAAAAGTAAAACCTCTCAAAGCCTTTGGACAGTATCTTTTGTCGTCTCAACCAGCTTACTCTACTTTGTGGAACTTGGCACAATTTGCTCCAACCATAGCGGTAACCAGTGCTGAGAGCAAATGGTCATTTTCAACACTCAAGAGAATTGAGACCAAACTAAGGACAAGAATGACAGAGGACAGACTATCAGATCTAGCCATTTTGTCAATTGAGCAGGAAGTAGCTGAAAATTTGAATATGTACAGTATTATGGAAGAGTTTGCTGCAGTTGACGACAATAGACGCATTGTATTTTTCTAGTTTATTTCAATGGCAATTATTGAGCCACACCCCCAATTTACTATGCCCTAACTAATAAGCAACAACCACATGTTCATGAACAATATTAAGGCCCCCTAGTAATTTTTTCCTAGATCTGCCCCTGTTTATCATTAATTATTATCATTACTTATTATTATTACTATTTTGGTCATTTTGGTTTCAATCATGAAAGAGAATATATATTATTATTATTGTCATCATTATTATTATTATCATTATTAATCTTAATTATTATTTTCACACATGAGCATAACGCACACACATGTTCTTTGTTCCATCTGACTTCTTCATCATCTATTTATCATAGTTATCATTTTCCATCTCACTTCTTGTTATTTTAATGATAATATTTGACAACTTAACTACTTGTTCTTTGTGTATTTTGTCTAGGCAAAGTAGCCGCGAGAATTGGTGACCCGTTCTTCACAATACCTTCTATAGACTTCTTCCCGTTGTCACTCATTTGTCATGTCTCATAGTGGCTCCTGTATTATTTCTCCTCAACCTCCAGCACCATCTACAGCTTCATCTGGCGTCTCGGTCGTCGTTAAAATCCCTCCCTTTTGGCCCTCCAATCCAGAACTATCGTTGTGTCAGGTAGATGCACAGATTGCTACCGAAGGTATTACTGTAGAAAAGAAAAAGTTTCACCATGTTATTGCCTCCTTGTCTCCTGAGTTTGTTTCTGAGGTCCATGACTTCATTCTCATGCCCCTGTCTACCACTGCCTATGATGCTCTGAGATCACAGTTAATTAAGCATACCACTACAGAGGCGTCTTCAACAACTATTCAACACAGAAGAATTAGGTGATTGTACTCTGTCTCAATTCCTCCTCCGTATGACTCAAATTATATGAGACAAAGCCGCTACTGCTGACTGCTCATTTCTACGGGAACTCTTCCTTCAGCATTTATCATCAAATCTTCGTATGGTACTTGCTGATGCTACTGACGAGTCACATGATTTGGAGTCCTTTGCTTCTGTAGCTGACAAGATTGGTGAAGTAGCTACACCTGCCGTTAATTCAGTAAAAATTCCTTCACTTTCAGCCGAAGTTGAATAATTACACTCTCAAATCAGTAATCTTCCAACAATTGTTCATTTCTTCAGCCACCTCCACGCTCTAGCTCTAAATCAAGACCTAGGTATTCTCAACTGTGCTCTGCAGTCAAACTCCTTCCTCTCCTTGCTTGTATCACAATCCCTTCATTGAGAAAACTGTTAAGAGTGTCCTACCCTGTACTTCGAACTCGGGAAACGATCCAGCTGGGCATTAATGGTGGCGAATGTTCCCAGCAGTTCTCACAGTCACTTGTTCTCCTTTAATGATAAAAACTGTTGTCTGACAATTTTGGTGGATACTGGTGCTGAAGTCAGTGTAATCCCTCGTACTAAGTGTGATCGACATCGTCGTTCATTAAACTTCACACTTCAAACTCCCAATGGTACTCAAATTCACATAAATGGTCAAGGCTCCCTCACTCTCAATCTGCGTCTTCGTAGACCTTATCATTCGATCTTCACTATTGCTGATGTGAAAGAGCCTATCTGGGGTGCAGACTTTGTTCAACACCATGGCCTCTTTATTAATATACAGTGCAAGACACTTATAGATTCCAGAAAAAAAATTAAAACTATCTTGCAATGCACGTACCAGAATGCATACGGTCTTACTCTTAACTCTCACTTCTTTTTTCTCTCCTTTTAGGGTATCTTGAATTAACTCAACCATGGAAAGGTAATACTCCCGTCAAGTACAACATTGTTTATCATATTCAGACGTCAGGACCACCTGTATCCGCTCAAACTCAACGACTTCCTCCCAAACGCTTAACAATCGCTAGTTCCCTCACATGATGGAACTGAAAATCACTCATCCTCCTTCCAGTCAATTACTTACATATGGTCACAAAGAAGACTAGTGGTGATTGGTGACCATGCAGGGACTATAGGGCGCTCAATAAGATCACCGTATCTGACCGACACATTCAGAAATTCGCATCCACTTTGCATTCACTCTGAGCTCGATCTTGTTTGTGCGTACCATCAAATAATTGCTACAGAGAATGTCCATAAAACAGCAGTGAGCATGTCTATTCTAATTCACTCGTCTGCCCATTGGTCTAAGAAATGCACCGTAAACATTGCAGTGTTTTATGGATATAGTACTTCATGCTCTTCAGTTTGCCTACGTATACATTGATGACGTGTTGGTAGCTAGTTTTGATGAGGTCAACACAAGAACCAATTTACACAAATATTAAATCGTTTCAAACAGTATAGAGTCTTCATTAACCCAGACAAATGTGAGTTTGGTCAATCCTCATTACACTCTCTTGGTCATATAGTCAATGAGAATGGTATCCGACCATTAGAGTCTAAAGTATCTGCTGTTACTGATTTCCCTTTACCTCAATCTCAGTGTCAAGTCAGACAGTCGTTAGGTCTCATAAATTTTTATTATCGCTTCATGCCTCACAGTTCTCAAACTCTTGAACTTTTGTACTCGTTACTCTTTTCAACTCCTGCTCATTCTCCTTTTTCCTGGACTGATGATTTAGTCAATGTATTTCATAAAGCGAAAAGTGCACTAGCTAAAGCCACTCTACTGTAGGGTCCACAGCTAAAAAAATCAAAGTCGTCCAAAGAATCCTTTTGGTAGTGACATGAAGAACACTAAAGAGTATTAGCTAAAATGTATTTTTCATTTTTTTAAATATCTTTCTCTAATAATTGCAACTTTTCTGAGAAATGGGGCGTGGCTTAATATTCTAATTGACAATATGTGAGCTCAACAGAGTAATTACAGGGTCTTTACTGTTCTGAAGCGAAAATCAAGAATTTCTCTACAAAGTTCTATAAAGGTACTATATCTATATCACCTTTTTACTGCTCAGAGTAGATGAGTAAGTAGGTATGATTTATGTAGAAATTTAGCAAAAAATATTGTATGTGACAAGTGATGAATTTTACTTAAGGGACTTTTGAATGAAATTTTAATATTTTTTTAATTGCTGCCATTTTATAGTAAAGAAAAAGTTGTACAACTTGTGCTATTTTTAAAAATTTACCATGCACTGTTTAGAAGTTACAGATCATTGAACTTTAATTATTAAAAAAAATTCCTGAATAACTTTTCATACTTTATACGCCATTTTTGATCTTGTGTCATTTCTGGATACCTCTGTATATTGTAAAACTGGCAGGAAATATTAATTGCAAGATGGGGTTAAGTTTTGACGTCATATTAGTCAAACCATTAATAAAAATGGCCACCAGTATGTATTTCCTGACTATTGTTTATTTAGCTGTTTCATCTGGTGAATGCAGGCTCTACAAAGCTCTAGAGCTTGCAATCGTGGCATAATGAAGGCAAACACTCAATCAAGTTTGTATGCAGTAAATGCTTTTGTGATACACTGACGTTTGAAAATCAACAAAACTTTATGAGAGATTGCAGCCCATTTTGCAAAACTTTAAAGACTTTTGCCAAATGATGCAACATACGTTAATAGAAAATATTATAAACACAATGATATTACTAAAAATTAAAGTACTCTCATCATGTTCAAGAATTCTTTACTCAGTTTTCATCCATTTTACAAAGTTTAGTAAAATTTATTGCATCTCACTATTGAGAAAAAATTCAAAATATTATATAATGTAGAAAAAGTATATAGAAAACAATTTGTGTCCCGAAATCTAAATTGTGAGTTCAGCCCATTGTACCTTAAGTATCATATATTTGTAACTCCTTAGTAGATGCAAAATAACTACTAGGCCTGCCCAATACTTGCATTAACTGTGAATGACATGTTTCTAATGACCTGGGGCGTAGCCCCCAGGTCGTTCATATAATTGATTTCACCTATGTGCGATGTTTGTATATATATATATATATTTTGGTGTACACACTTACATATCATCGATACATGTTGTATTGGACAAATAACAAGCCTTAGCAACTGTCCATCCACCCTCCTCTATGTGGTGGGCGTGGCCATAGCAAACAAAATGGTGGCTTACGTATGAGAAAACTTTTGTACTGTCTAACAGCAAGAGAACTTAGGAAAAACTTCTCTTGAAGCATTAGAAGGTAGAGAGAACCTCTAAAAGTCTAATAAGTGTGCAGCTATGCATGCAAGGTGGTGAAAACAATATAGGAATATTTTTAACACTGTTACGCTTGTTTTTAACCATCTGGCTGGTCAGCAGTTATAACACCTGCTTGTCACAGGGGTGGGGTTGCTCTATATGCCATTTAATGAAGTAAATATCACAATCTAACCATTTTCATGTTGACAAGTGGAAGTTCACACTGATCCTACTCATGGGGAGTTGACTTATGAGTTGCTGATATCCTCCGTCAAAAATTCATTTCTAAGTATCCTGAATACCAGTTAATCGTCCAGGCCATTTCTTAGACACTGTTAGAAGACTTGCTGCTCCAACAAAGCCATCTGCAATTGGAGAAGCAAAATTATTTGGTTCACCACTTAGAACTTACCATCATAGACAATGGGTACCAAAAACAAGATATAAACAAGGTACTTTGTTTTACATAAGAAACTTATAGTCTATATGGAATAAAACTTCAGACCATAATTTTATAACTATAGGCTCTGAACAGCTGTTTTCCAGTTAATTGCAGCAGTATGGCATAACTGAAAGTTTACTGCAAAGAGCATTTCTTGAATTTGCTGAAGGCGAAGCTGACTGGCGTTGGACACAAGACAAACCTGTGACTATTGGGTTTTATAGAGACCTGCATAAATACTTGAAAAAATGGCAACTCTCACGTTCAGCTTCTAAAACAACTGTTGGAAGGTTTTTTACATAATTGATCATAATTTTTAAAAACAAAGAATATCAAGCCGTCCAGATAATATGTACTCATTTATGCAGAGTTATGGATTCAAGCAGACCTCGTTCAGAACTTGTGTCACATGGGGTATCATACAGTGAAACACTTGCAGTCAGTAGTTTCTGGTTATGAGAATGATCTTGAAGTAATGTCTGAGAAGTTTTAGAGCATCAATGAGTTGTTCAAGATATAAAGTGAGCTAGAAGTGGCTAGAATTGAACTAAACTCTATGAAGCATGTGTTATCTGATGTCACACAGAAGCTCAAGAAAACAAGAAACCAACATGATTTTGCTCGAAAACATGTATAAACAACTCAGCAAGAACTTGAAGCAACTATTTTGAATGCTGTTTACTAAGAAGACATGTTATCAGAGAATAATAACTTGTCAGACTTAATTAAATCATTACAAATGAAGAGAAGCACAGCATCTGAGCATTTTGAAGAGTTTCAGACCAAAGAAATAGGTGGAGCCTATACAACAGCTATAAGGGAACTTTACCATACACTACTTGCCAACCAGGTGCTACACAATAAAATTGCTACCACAGTTAAATCTATTCTCAAGGGTTTATTACCTTCATTAGATGTCGATAATATGAAATTGCCTAGAGAGTCATGTGCATCATATCTGATATGGCAGGAACTAACTGCTGAGAATTTAGCTCACAAGGCAAGATGCTTACTTGACAAGGCACAGTATGGTTTATTGAATTTAAACTGTGATAGGACAACACTGGCACAAAAGAAGCGACAAGGAGCTGCCATTAGTGGCATGACTTTGTCAGTTGCTGATAGCATGATTGATGATATCTCTAAAGAACTGTTAAAGCTAAGAGACATTGCCCATGCACTGCAATTGTCAAATGTAGATACAATTAACTCACTAATACAATCCTCATCATCTGATACAGCATCAACTTTAAAAAGGAGTAATAGGATTGGTGAAGAAAAGGAGGAATATATGCAATGCTTTGGGCCGGCAAGAGAATGTCCTGATGTAATTGAATTCGTTAAAAATTTTTGTTGCATGCAACTAGGAGAGAACCTTCGAAAAGCTTTTTTTGATGGCATTAAAATAGCTGACAGCAATCCAGTTTGTGATGTTCTAGTACATGACTTTTGCAAACTAGTTGGAAACCATGGTTGAAAGCGTTGTGCTCCTGAATATGCTCATGGTGCAGTGGCCTTTCCTGATTATTTGACACTACTGTCTTCTACATGCACCACGGAACAACTCTCATACTATGAGCACTGTTAAGTAATAAGAATAGAGACACAAGCTGGAAGTAGATATATAGTCACAGCAGCAAATGCAGGCAAAGTTCTTTTTCTTTGTGAAGCAGCTATCATCTTTCTTTAAAACACCAGGAAAGACAAGGGAACAAAATGTAGATGAAAAATTACAGGATACTGATTCATTGGCTCAACTTAAAGCTCATGCTATTATGTTCCATCACATTTACTCCTATTGTGATGCTTCAAAAATTGTGTTATCTTAATAAGAATGTTTTTGATATCATTCAGCACTATTTAGAGCTCCAAGAGTTTCTTATTACTGTCGAACATGATCCACGGCTGAATAGTGACATGATCCACTATATAGTCTTGTCAAACTAATAATTATTATTATAACTGTTGAATAAAATAAGTGTTAGATACAAGTATATACAGGCTAGTAGTTATATAGTTCACTGGTTATGGTTATTTGTAAATATTAATTCTATTATATCTAATAATCTGTCCAACTGGTTCATTACACTATCATTGTGTTGTCCCTGCCACCACCACCCTCCTCTTCCTCTGCCTCCCCTTCCTCTCCCTCCCCGCAGCCCCCGGCCCCTTCCTCTTTGGTGATGCCACGGTTTAAAGTGACTCTGGAACTGCTGCAGGGCCTGCCATCTGCCTCGCGCTGTCCCGCTGTTAGGATTCCCTGGCCTGCCTCCTCTTCCTCTCCCTGGTCTACCTCGCCAGGTACCTCTACGAGGAGACCCGTCACCTCTACCACCACCCCCTCTTCCTGCTCCTCTACCATCTTCTTGTCCTCTTCCCGATACCGGTCGGCGACCACGACCGGTACCACGGTCAGGAGCTATTTCATCGGGATGCCTGTCTTCCCGTCTTGGAGGTGGTGGTCTCATGGGAGGTGTTGGTCTTCTGTGTGGTGGTTCTGTGGCTGAATCATCGCCAGTCTCATCTACCGGTGATAGCTGATTTAGAGTCCCTGGTTGCGAGTTCTGCATTTCCTCCTATTGAAGATTATATATAACTTATTTAATTGTAATTATCATGCAATCATTTAAGTCGTTATCATTAAGTAGATCATACTCTTCATTGTCGTCTCCCATTTTAACTTCAATCTTCAGTACTAAAATAAATCAGTGAATGCAGCTGTTGCAATTGATAATTTAGAATGTGTCAAGAATTAATTAATAGGTATACAGTCTAGTATATATGGTTCATAAAAATTATCCAATCAAATTATGCCACGCCTAAATTATTATTATTATTAGCCAATAATATAACTAAGCAACCGATGTAAGACGCTCAGTTTCAAAAATAACTTCAGTTTAGAAGATGGAAACTTCCTTACCAAAAACGGTAGCTAAGACGAAGCGAGTTTTACCTCAATGGATGCTTGAATCCGCTAATCAACAACAGGCACACACTACAACAGTATCGTCACATAAGAGGAGAGACATCATAGATTCGTTCTATGGCCCGCCAATAAAGCGTCGTGTACCATAACA